AATCAAAGTTCTAGACAAATAATGCATGCCACCGTTGTATTCCAAGCCCATATCTCCCATCCTGTAAAACTATTTCGGAGCTCTTCGTCTTCATCATATAGTGGCCTCTTGTGACCTTAGTTACATCCGTGATGAGCAAGCCAAGAAATTCGAAGCTGGGATGATGGTACAATCATACATGTTCCTAGCAACTAGAAAGCCCACGCAAATACGCGGGCTTGCATCATAAGATTCATTATATTAACTGGATAATATTTGTATGCCATATGCTTCAAAAGTATTATTTCTTCATAAATTTTGTTCTTGGCATTGCTTAGATATTTTTTTTAACCTGTTAGAATTGTTCTAATTATCTAAGGCAATTATTATGAAATGGTTATTGCAATAGTCGTTTCAATTTAGGTGTGAAGTAAGAAGCAAAATTTCTCCAATTGGTTAAATTTACTCCCTGTTGATATTTTTGTATTTTATATTTTATTTTATACAAGTCTTATTTTAAGTATAAAATTTGTGATATGATAAATAGTAACAGAGCATTACACTTTTTTTTCAACTTTCATGGAACTTTCAATGACATTTTATATAAGTTGGTAAGGCCGATATATATTCTCATTGGTCAATAATTAGTGGATTGGATAGGACATAAGACTACACTATATACATGGGTTTGTAGAGTCCAATATGATTATGTGGTGTGACACACAATCTATTTATGAACACTATTTGCGTGGTGTGAGAGGCTTCATGCAACCTAGCGTGAACACAATCGAACAACTAAAATTATATAATTGTGCATGCATCATTATTTTTAAAATGTGGTACACTATGATTGTTTACATGATTTAAATATTTTTCCATAAAAAATAATTTAATATTAGGAATTTTTTTACTTGAGATCGACTACTTTGTAATTTAAATTTTTATTTAGCTAGCTTGTACCTGGCATTTATCAAGTGCATTTAGATTATTATATAAAGCCTATAATACCTATCCAGTTGCTATAATTATGTTGTATCGTATCAAAGACCATAGAAAATCCCTGTTTTCCCAAGACCAAAAAAAATATTTCATTTTTTTTCATTTCTAGCATGAAAATTATTTGGTTGCTATAGGATCCTCTCGTAGGAATAATTCCTAGTAAATATGTTCCATGCCTTAAAAATACGCTCGTTGTGCCATGTCCCACTTAATATTGATACATTGTTCTTAGCTCGTTAAGACTGGTCTGCTAACTCTCTCTGTACTTCTCTTTCTCTCCCATGCACTCGTTTGCGCAAGAAAATGTTTGGTTTCCAAAGTCTGAATAAATTTATTATAATTTGTGTGTGTCTTATATATGACAATTGTTTTTAATGGTTCATGGACAAAAAAATAAATGAAATTGTGTTCATACCTAAAAGTTGTAGAAGAATATCTACATATGATATATGATGGCGCAACATGTGTTGTTGAATTATTTTATAGCATTTTATAGCAATTCAGACAACATGCAAAAAGGCAAGTGTTCTCTATCGATAAAAATATTTTTCATACTTGAATTTATATATTTTTTGGATTCTACTGATTTAGTTTATCTATGCATATTTATAAAATGATCTATATAATGATGTAATATTTGTTGTTATTTATTATCATATTTTTTTTTGCTATTTGACTGCCATATAGAAAACATGGATCGACTAATCTTATATATAAAAATGTAGGTATATATATGTTAATTTGTTTTTTTAATTATAAATAGAGAAATTTTAATATTAGACATAAGATGTGTAGCATGTGGCTTAAAAATTATCATCATTTGAAAATTACAATTACTAATTATTTCTCTTTTAGTTGGATTACTAAATATTAGGAATGGGGAGAGGAATGAATATTGCCAATTCGAGACAGAGGGAGAAGCAGACAGTGATATACGTATGTGAGGGGAAGGGGAGGTGAAGTGGAGATGAAGGACCTTTGTTTTCTCTGAGATATGTTTATTGGGTTCACAGGAGGATGAAGTTGATCGAAATGTTTGTAAATCAATGTGGTGTTCAGTTTTTATTAACACTATTTGGTGACAAAAAGGCATAAAAATGTATTAAAAATGATCTTTTGAAAATATCTTTAATATGTGATGTAGTATTTTTCTTCTGTTATTATAGATAACATAGATGTGCTATGTTTTATTGATGCTTGTTTTTCTTGATGGTAGGTGCATATGTACGTAGATGTTCTTTTTTTTTTCCCATCGATACTGTGCTTGCTTTTGTTCTTGTTTTTGATGATAGGTGCATATGTACGTACGTAAATATCTTATTTTCCTTTTTTTTGCCGTGAATACGTGTACATATATACATACGTGCATATTATTTTTCTTGGCTTTTTTTCTCTCGGGGCCACCGGCAGGAGAACTGGAGGATTGTATGTACCATATGGCCCAACGGAAAAAGGAGAGAGATTGATTATGGGGCTTTATTGTTTTCTAAAAGAAATCTAATATAGTAGTTAAAAATAGTGGGTCTACCGATTTATTAGAATGCCATGTGGCAGCTTATAAGCGTTTATAGGATGCCATGTGGTGGCTTAGGAGCATTTATAGAAAGTTTAATGGACTTCGTACATATAATAGATAGATAGATTCGTGGATCACAAATGTAGTTTGTACGATGTAAAAGTAATGGTTCGGAAACAAATATTTATTTCTATAAAGAATAGGCATTGTGTAACCTGAACATTCAAAACTGTTGCCGTTTTAACCTTTACTTGGGAGAACCATTTTATACAACATGGCCAGGGATACATGATACTAATGTATCATTCCACATTTGTGTAGACAGGGATCGGGAGATCGAGCGAGATGGAGACACATGTTGCCCTCCCATAGCCCACCTCATGAACGACCGACCTAGGTTGGGGGGGGAGGGGGGAGGCGGGGACCGAAGAGGTGTCCTTGGCAATCAGATCCATGATGGAATCGGATTCAACCCGCTAAGGAGTCAAGTTATGAATATACATTTGTATCCCCATTCCCATGAGCTCCCTCTTTGATTTCACGACTAACCGTATAATCACCATCACTGCATCTCCCAAACTTTATATCATCTTCGAGATTTAGGAAAAGAGTAAATTTCCTGTGTACCCCTGAAAGCTCACTCAATCTCTTTCATACCCCTGAAATTTATCTGATCCCTTCTATACCCCTGAAATTTCAATTTGATCCCTTCCATGCCCCTACCGTTACATTTTCCATCATTTCACTGTTACATTTGGTTGCAAATGTCCTTTTTGCCCTTGATGCTTTAGGTTCAAATATAAGCTTGAAAAACAATTAAAAATTTTGTTTGAGTGTACAGTATGTGCATTTTATAAAACTAAAGAGACTAAATAATTAGTGCAGAAAATTTTGACATAAATTTTGAAAATAAAATAAATGTAATAAATTAAAATTTTTATTTGAAATTTTAATAGGACAATGGATTTTTTTTTATCAGGAGCATTCATTAAAAGAATGTTGTGAACATTGGTAGTTCTATTTTTATATGAATGCTCCTCATTTTTATGACTTTTTTTAAAAAAATAAATATGTATTTTTTATTTCATTATCTAACAATATTTTTTGGGATAAATAATGCATCGAACAACAAACTCATAACTATAATAGTCTCATGCGAGAAGCTTTTATATTTTTAATAATGTAACTCATGAATTTCTTTGTTCATCCAAGAGTAAAATGGTCATTTTTATGGAAAATAGACGGTCAACTAACGGTCAACTGACGGGAGGGGTATGGAAGAGATCAAAATCAAATTTTAGGGGTATACAAGGAAGTAAGCAAAATTCAGGGGTATAGAAGGGATTAGGTAAAATTTGAGGGGTATACAAGGGATTTTCTCTTAGGAAAATGATGCATATATGTGCTATGATCATACAAGTTCTAATGTTTATTCTTATAAATCTAAGACGAATATGGACAATCCGTTGATAAAAGGTAGTGTGGCCCAAATCATCATACTTTTAGAGAGTTCAAGGGGTATACAATAGATGTTTCTATAAAGTGCATAACTGTTCCATAGGTAATATGAGCGTGGCACTTTCTAGGCCAATAAATTCAACTGCTGCTGCTAGGAAAGGTCATAATATTTCTAGTTCTATACATATTATGCAACCCCTGTGCTACACGCGTAGTCCAAAAAGGGTTGCATAATATCTACATAAGTTGGAGAAACAAGATATGGGGTGAGGCTCTCTTCTCATTCATTCCCATAGGACCAAGTGTACAATAAGTAGCTCCCCTTCTCCTTATATAGCCGTATTTCATATATGGAAAATTTAGATGTGGGCCCAATAAATGTATATGTGCTGGGCCATCAAGGGCCCAAGCCCATAAGTTTCCTAATAAAATGGCATGAGGCCCTTCGACCAAATCTGCCGAAACCCGTGGCGAAGTCTATGGAGCAAGAACGGCGTGAGGCGAAGAGTCGTACGAGTGCCTTGCCAGGCCAGAGGCGTCTCAGGCGAAGGATGCAAGGCGAAGACTATCTGCCGAAGGAAGACGACTTCGCCATGGCTAGTTCGCCCCCGCGAGGGCCGAAGAAGCCTTTCCGGCCCATCAAGCCTAGGGGCTATAGGGCCGGCGATCGCCAGACGGCCCATCAGAGGCCTATGAGCCCCTATAACATTATGTACCCCTGTAAATGTCCCTTTCGTAAGGGTAATTATGTAAATTCCCCTGTATAACCTAAACCCTAGTAGTAAGAACTCGTAATGGGGCTATAAATAGTCCCCTAGGGCCATGTAATGGGGGGGAGAAAAAGAAAGAAATTCAAGATTCAACACACTTCGTTTCCTTCCAACCACTGTTGAGTAACCACATCTTTCGACGTATGCAGTTGTCATTTCGACAACAGCTGGCGCCGACCGTGGGGACCTCCGAGTGAAACCACTGAGAGCGAATGCCACCGAAGAGGGTCGTGAAGGAGAAGGTTGCCAGGCGGAAGGAAAGCGACGCCGGACCGGACATGGCCGCCGAGGACGGAGCAGAGCCTTCGGCGCCCGTGGCCGAAGATGGAGGAGGACCAGCGCCATCACAACCGCCTTTGGCCCCTGCAACCTCTGTGCAAGTGCCGAACGCGGCCGACGTGGCAAAGGCGGCTGTGGCGGCAAGGGCACTCCAGACCAGGGCGGAGATCCTTTCAACAAGCCGACTGGTGGTGCCCCAAGCCGCTCCATCGCAGCCGGCAGCAGCCCCAACTGCGCTCGCCGTTGTGCAGGCCCAAGTCAGCCCTGACCCCGAAACTCAAGCCGAAGCTGACATGGAAGCCATGCGACAGAAGATGACACGGCTCCAAGACATGCTTCGCCAAATGCAAGAACAACAACAAGCATACGAGGCGGCAAGGCGGACCAAGGCCACGTCGGCTCCAATCCTTCAGTATTCGGTAGGTTTTGTCCCACCTCAAGTCCATCCGCAAGTGACGACCCAGCCCATTCCGCCACAAGCTGCACAGGTGCCAGTGTACTTCGCCGGGCAGCAATCGGCCGCAGCAGTGCATCCGGCCCCTCACGTGCAACTGCAAGCTCAACCAGTCGCTGCCCAAGTACACCATCAACCACCTGGCCAAGCACCACAAACAATGGCGGAAGGGGCTTCGGCTCTGCAGGCGCAACTCCAAGCTTTCCTTCAGCAACTCAACCAACCCCACTGCATTTCAAGTACAACCCCATCGGCCCACCCGGAGGGGAATACAAGTCAAGGTGCGCCTAATTGGTTGCCACCGATTCAGCCGGGCCTGGGAGTTTCGCCATGGAATCAAGGACCGCAGTCCGACTTCGTCAACGCTGCTCAGGCACCAACCGTTCGGCAGCAAGCTCCAACTCCAGGCTTCGGAACAAACCAAGCACCAATCCAAGCTGCCACGACGTGGTCGCAGCCAATTTTTGACCTGTCCATGGCGGCTCAGCAAGTACCTCCAGTTGGAGCCGGGCAGTCGAATGCCAGGGCCCAACCTCACGCACAAGCTGCGATTTTGCCCTTCGCCACACCGTACCCGCCGCAAAGTGCGGTAAACAGGGCGGGAGGAGAAAAGGGGCAACCGCTGAGTGGGGGAATCAAGACTCGTCCAATCCCACCCCAGTTCAAGTTCCCACCCGTCCCGCGCTATTCAGGCGAAACTGACCCGAAGGAGTTCCTCTCCATCTACGAGTCAGTGATCGAAGCGGCTCATGGTGACGAAAATACCAAGGCAAAGGTAATACATCTCGCTCTAGACGGCATCGCCCGTTCTTGGTATTTCAATTTACCAGCCAATAGCATTTACTCATGGGAGCAATTGCGCGATGTTTTTGTCCTTAACTTTCGAGGCACCTATGAGGAGCCGAAGACGCAGCAACACCTTCTCGGCATTCGCCAAAGGCCGGGGGAGTTGATAAGGGAGTACATGCCTCGCTTCTCGCAAGCCCGGTGCCAAGTTCAAGACATAACTGAGGTGTCGGTTATAAACGCCGCTTCGGCCGGTCTGCTCGAGGGCGAACTCACAAGAAAAATCGCCAACAAGGAGCCACAGACGCTCGAGCACCTACTTCGCATCATTGACGGGTTCGCAAGGGGCGAGGAGGATTCCAAGCGATGACAAGCTATACAAGCTGAGTACGACAAAGCCTCTGTCGCCGCTGCTCAAGCTCAAGCACAAGTTCAAGTTGCCGAACCACCTCCCCTCTCTGTTCGCCAGTCTCAGCCGGCGATCCAAGGACAGCAGCCAAGGCAAGGCCAAGCCCCCATGACTTGGAGAAAGTTCAGAACAGACCGTGCGGGCAAGACTGTGATGGCTGTCAAAGAAGTGCAAGCCCTTCGCAAGGAGTTCGACGCCCAGCAAGCAAGCAACCATCAGCAGCCAGCCCGCAAGAAGGTCCGAAAAGACCTCTATTGCGCCTTTCACGAAAGCTCTTCGCACACCACGGAGCAATGCCGAAACATTAGGCAACGTGGCAACGCGCAAGACCCAAGGCCGCAGCAGGGAACAACTGTGGAAGCACCCCGCGAAGCAGTTCAGGAGTAAACACCTCCAGCCGAACAACGCCAAGATGCACAACGAAGGATAATCCAAGTGATTACAAGGGCCGACCCGCCAAGCCAGTTGTCCAAACGGCAGAAGAAGATGCAGAACCGTATGGTCCACAGCATCACTTCGGCGGGCGAAGTGGCGCCGCAATATCTGAACTAGTTAATTTCTTTTGGGCCGGAAGACGCAGAAGGAGTTATGTTCCCGCATCAAGATCCCCTGGTAATCTCAGCTGAGATAGCTGGTTCCGAAGTCCAACGAATCCTGGTCGACGGAGGGAGTTCGGCCGATGTTATCTTCGCCGAAGCATATGCCAAGATGGGGTTGCCTACCCAAGCCCTTACCCCAGCACCAGCATCGCTCCACGGTTTCGACGGAGAAGCAGTTCAAGTTCTCGGCCAAGCACTTTTGCTGATAGCCTTTGGCTCGGGGGAGAACAAACGCGAAGAGCAAATACTGTTCGACGTCGTCGACATCCCGTACAACTACAACGCCATCTTCGGCCGTGCAACCCTGAACAAGTTCGAAGCTATTTCCCACCACAATTATCTCAAGCTCAAGATGTCCGGCCCGATAGGGGTGATAGTAGTCAAGGGGCTTCATCCTTCGGCTGTTTCAAAAGGCGATCTAGCCATAATCAACAGAGCAGTGCACAGTATTGAGACCGAACCGCATGAACGGCCGAAGCACACGCCAAAGCCTACCCCTCATGGCAAGATAACAAAAGTGCAGATTGATGATGCTAACCCCACAAAGCTCATATCACTAGGGGGCGACATGGGCGAAGAAGAAGTTGAGAGTATCCTAGAGGTGCTCAAAAAGAACATCGATATCTTCGCTTGGAGCCCTGACGAGGTGGGGGGTGTCCCGGCGGATCTCATCATGCATCACCTAGCAGTCAAGCCGGACATTAAGCCAAGAAAACAAAAGTTGCGCAAGATGTCTGCCGATCGCTAAGAAGCGGCGAAAGCCGAAGTACAAAAATTGCTCAGGGCGGGGGTTATCCAAGAGATTAACCATCCGGAGTGGTTGGCGAATCCAGTGCTGGTGCGGAAGTCAAACGGCAAATGGCGCATGTGTGTCGATTTCACAGACCTGAACAAAGCGTGTCCGAAAGACGACTTCCCCTTGCTGCGAATCGACCAGCTCGTGGATTCAATAGCTGGATGCGAGCTCATCAGTTTCCTGGATGCATATTCCGGTTACCACCAGATCCACATGAACCCGCTCGACATCCCCAAAACATCCTTCATCACTCCATTCGGCACATTTTGTCACCTTAGGATGCCTTTTGGCTTAAGGAACGCAGGAGCAACTTTCGCCAGGTTGGTGTACAAGGTCCTTGGCAAGCAGTTGGGGCGGAATGTGGAAGCTTACGTCGACGACATAGTCGTAAAAAGCCGCAAGGCTTTCGACCATGCGATCGACCTGCAGGAGACATTCGACAGCTTGCGCACAGCAGGCATAAGGCTGAATCTGGAGAAGTGCGTTTTCAGCGTCCGCGCAGGCAAGTTGTTGGGTTTCCTTGTTTCCGAAAGAGGCATCGAGGCGAATCCCGAGAAAATCGATGCCATCCAGCAAATGAAGCCTCCGTCAAGCGTACATGAAGTACAAAAGCTTGCAGGCCGAATTGCGGCACTCAGTCGATTCCTCTCAAAGGCAGCCGAAAGAGGTTTGCCCTTCTTCAAGACCCTCCGGGGCGCAGGAAAGTTTAATTGGACACCAGAGTGCCAAGCAGCATTCGACGAGCTAAAGCAATACTTGCAAAGCCCGCCAGCTCTGATAAGCCCACCCCCAGGAAGCGAACTGCTATTATACTTAGCAGCTTTGCCGGTGGCAGTCAGTGCTGCCCTCGTCCAAGAAACAGAGTTCAGACAAAAATCGGTCTACTTCGTCTCCGAAGCACTGCAAGGAGTGAAGACAAGGTACATTGAAATGGAAAAGCTCGCTTACGCCCTAGTGATGGCTTCGCGCAAGCTTAAGCACTACTTCTAGGCCCACAAAGTCATAATGCCATCACAGTACCCCTTGTGCGAAATACTCCGAGGCAAGGAAGTCACTGGCCGGCTCAGCAAGTGGGCTGCAGAGCTATCCCCGTTCGACTTACATTTTGTTGCACGCTCTGCTATCAAGTCTCAAGCGCTAGCCGACTTCGTAGCTGAATGGACACCGGTACTTGCCCCCGACCCCGAGCCCGCCGAACAATTCTGGGTGATGTGCTCTGACGGCTCGTGGTCGCACAGGGGAGCAGGCATTGCGGCAGTCCTATTTTCACCAAATGGTGTGCCAATGCGGTACGCAGCAAGACTGCAGTTCGACACAACCAACAATGCAGCAGAATACGAAGCCGTTCTCCTGGGCCTAAGAAAGGGAGTCCGGCGCCTGCTAATTCGAACTGACTCCAAGTTGGTAGCAGGCCATGTTGAAAAATTCTTCGAGGCAAAAGAAGAGGGAATAAAGAGGTATCTGGAGGCTATTCGATCCATGAAAAATGCTTCACCGGCATAACGGTCGAACACTTGCCTAGAGACCAGAACGAGGAAGTAGACGCCTTGGCGAAATCCGTTGCTTGTGGTGGCCCATATTCGCCTGGCATCTTTTTCGAAGTCCTACATGCTCCAAGTGTGCCCATGGACAGCTCGGAAGTCATGGCAATCGACCAGGAGAAACTGGGCGAAGACCCATATGACTGGCGAGCCCCATTTGTGAAACACCTTCAAACTGGCTGGCTTCCGGTAGACGAAGTAGAAGCGAAGCGTTTGCAACTCAGAGCCACGAAGTATAAGATGGTCTCGGGTTAGCTTTACTGCTCCGGGGTACTTTAACCCTTACTTCGTTGCATCTCTTTTGCCGAAGGCGAAGAAATGGAAAAGGAGATACACCAGGGGCTATGTGGCGTGCACCAGGCTGCAAGAACAGTGGCCTCCAAAGTATTTAGACAAGGAGTTTATTGGCCCACTATGTTGAAAGTCTGTGTTGAGCAAATCAAGAAGTGCGAAAGTTGCCAGCGTCATGGCCGAAGCCAAGCCACGCCCCAGTATGATTTGCAGCCCATTGCGCCAATATGGCCCTTTGCCAGATGGGGACAGGACATCATTGGGCCGTTCCCGGTTTCGCGAAACGGGTATAAATTCGCAATTGTAGCTGTGGAATATTTCTCTTGATGGATTGAAGCCGAACCCCTTGGGGCAATCACTTCGGCAGCAGTACAGAAGTTTGTATGGAAAAACATTGTTTGCCGTTTCGGGGTGCCAAAAGAGTTCATTACTGACAACGGCAAGTAGTTTGACTCTGATAAGTTCAAAGAAATGTGCGAAGGGCTTAACCTGGAAATCAGTTCGCGTCGGTCGCACACCCGCAGTCAAATGGGGCGGCCGAACATACAAATGGCAAGATCCTAGAAGCACTAAAGAAAAGTCTCGAGGGGGCAGCGAAAGTCAAATGGCCAGAGGAATTGCTATTGGTTCTCTGGGCCCTTCGGACGACCCCCACAAGACCAACCAAGTTTAGCCCGTTTATGCTTCTTTATGGTGATGAGGCAATGACCCCAGCAGAGCTAGGGGCTAACTCACCAAGGGTGATGTTCTCTGGGGGCGAAGAGGGACGCGGAGTATCGCTCGAACTCTTGGAAGGAGTAAGAGTCGAAGCGCTCGAGCACATGCACAAATACGCCACAAGCACTTCGGCAACTTACAACAAAAAAGTTCAACTCGCGGAGCTGATGCCTGGTCATCTTGTTCTAAGGAAGAAGGCGAACCCACTAGTGATTGGTAAGCTTGAATCAAAGTGGGAAGGACCGTACCTCATCAAACACAAGTCCAGGACGGGATCTTTTCGCCTAGCGACACTCGAAGGCGAGGAGTTCGACCATTCCTGGAACACCGTCTCTCTCAAGCGCTTCTATGCCTAGAATGGGTGGCACCCAAATTGCCAACTTGTAAAAATGTACATACTGTCATGTAAGCCCTTCGGCACTATGTAAGCCCTTCAGCACTATGAAAGCCTTTCGGCAAGAAAAAAAAAGAAGAAAGAGAGGAAAAAGAAAAAAAAAACTGGATGTAGGGCTATTATCCACCATGGAGGCCCGAACCAGTATAAAATCTCTGTGTCCTCCGCCTTCTTTTTATTTCTCGTGTGATTGATAATTTGTGGAAAAACCCCAAGGCAAACGCCTGATCAGCGAAAAAGGCCAGGGGGGCGAAACGAATCGGCCGAAGCATCGCTCGCTGAACGTTGAAACCGCAACAGCTTGTCTCGGAAAATAAATAGCCGAACGACGTTACGTTCGATCAGCATAAAAGCAAAAGTGTTTCTCTCGACATAGAACGCTACAGATCGAAAATGATACAATTCACAACACGATACAATTCACCTTACAAGTAAATTACATCTTTGTCCCCATAATCACTATCCCTCCCTAAGGCATGATCAGGCGAACTAGGTTCGTCATCACTACTAATATCATACACAACCTTAAGAGGAGTAGGGGGCGAAAAACAGACTAAACTGTAACGACGCTGAAAGATCGTTTCCTGACGTTTAGTCTTCTGATGGATTCGCCAAAAGCGAGCCATATCCTCCAGACGTCTTGAATGAACAAGAATGTAATCTTCTAAGGTTCGCCCGGGGTGCGCCCGCAGCCAGTCGGCAACCTTGAAAACCTTATAGCTGCGACCGTTTATCTCCATTTCGCGATAAATAGGCCGAAATGGACATCGCACCTTCGGCAGACCCTTCATTGCCACAAATTTCTCGTTTTGACTTCGCCAGCTCCCGGAAGGGGGCCGGATGCACGACTTTCGGCGAACCCCCTGATGGATAGTGCAGTAAAAGCAAAACACAGCTAACATAGTAAGAATAGGCAGAAGAAGGGGGAGGTATGGCATAATGTGAGATGAGCGAAATAATAATATGCCAAAGACTTTGATCATCAAAAAGTAGTTAAGATTGTGTCATACATTCCAAATGTACAAAAAAAGCCTTTTTTAAGGTTTGGC